GGCAAAGTAATGTCTCTGCTTTTTAATATATTGTCTAGGTTTGTCATAGCTTTTCTTCCAAGGAGCAAGCATCTTTTGATTTCATGGCTACAGTTACCATCTGCAGTGATTTTGGAGCCCCCAAAAATAAAGTCTGTCACTGTTTCCATTGTTTCCCCATCTATTTGCCATGAAGTGATGGGATTGGATGCCATGTTCTTAGTTTTTTGAATGTAGAGTTTCAAGTCAGCCTTTTCACTCTCCTCTTTCACTTTCACCAAGAGGCTCTTTAGTTCCTCTTCACTTTCTGCCAGAAGAGTGCTGTCATCTGCATCTCTGAGGTTATTGATATTTCTCCTGGCAATCTTGATTTCAACTTATGCTTCATCCAGGCCAATATTTCATATGATGTACTCTGAATATAAATAAAATAAGTAGAATGACAATATACAGCCTTGACGCACTCCTTTCCCAATTCTGAACCAGTCCTTTGTTCCATGTCTGGTTCTAACTGTTGCTTCCTGACTTGCATACAGGTTTCTCAGGAGGCAGGTAAGGTGGTCTGGTATTCCTGTCTCTTGAAGAATTTTCCATAGTTTGCTGTGATCCACACAGTCGAAGGCTTTGGAGTAGTCAATGAAGCAGAAGTAGACATTGTTCTGGAATTCTCTTGCTTCTTCTATGATCCAATGGATGTTGTCAATTTAGGCATAAAGAATAAGCCTTCTTTAACATTGTCAAGTTAAGATTTTTGAATTGACTTTAAAAAGACTTTGGGAAGAAAAAAATAACAGTAAGCTTATCATAATAAATTTGTAAAACACTTCAGGAAGCAGAACAAAATATCCTATAATTTTGTTAAAAGATGGCAGCTGTAAATTTTTCTATAAAATTCCTTCTTTTAATTTCTTAATTACAAAATGTGTTTGGAAATAATTATGTAAGTCCACTTATTTTGGAATAAAAGTTTAAATTTCGTGTTATGTTGTTAACATATCTATATGATGTCCTATAATTTAACTGTGTTATAATTCACTTAATCTACAATTACTAAACAATTGGATCTGTATGATTTTGATGTTATTATCATCATTGTATTTTCATTAAACTAATAAAATTATTTATAATGAAACAACAGATTTACAACATTTACTTGTTACATCCAGAAAAATGGTAGATATCGCTACCTATTCATTTTTTTTTCCTGTTTAGAGCTAAGTATTTGCAGTTTTCTTTTTATACACTTCACTGATTTTTGATGTATTTATTTAGAGGTGTACTGCATTTTTGTTGTTATTATGAATGACATTTTCTTTTATTGAATTTTCCTCCTGATTATTATCTTTGCATATTTACTTTGCATGAGGAAGCTATTTTAAAGTTTTTTTTCCTGATTTTAATCATTTTTGAAATTATTTTTATGAAAATTCACATCAAATATCTGCTAGTGTTCGAAAAAGAAAAATAGGCAGAAAAATAAGTTTTTGGGTGAGAGTAAATTTCTGAATTTTAATTCAAGAGCTAATTGATGAGTATGATGTGCTATGTTTTAATCCCTATCTTCTCCCTTTTTCTTTTAGGAGAATTGGAGGGTTAAACACTTGCCTTCCCCTTTTCCAGTACTTTTAATGAGAGAAAGTGGGGAAGGCTCCATGCAGCTTACTTCTTCCCTCCACTATCAAGGGGTATTGTAAGGCTCTGCAGGTTCTTCTGGCATAAAGGAGCCTGTCTGAGAGAGGGAGTGGAGGCTGTCACTGAGCCTGCGCCCAGGGAGCAGAAGTGAGCACCCTGCTGTGCGTGGGAGTCCGCCCTGAGGAAGGGGTGCATAAAAACACCTCTGGTCAAGACTTGTAGCTGAGAGGCTGTTGCTTTGTGATTTTATAATTTATACAAAGAGCTTCAGAGACTAACCTGAGGACCTGCACCCAAACTTTTAAATTAAGTCATACTATCACCTCGCTTAGATCCTGATTTTACCTCCCTTGCATAGCTAAAATGAAGATATGTTAGTGAATCTGGTCTTTTTGTGCTTCTATGGAACTGGCTACAGTTTCACTAGTAGATAGGATTGTGTTACTCAGAATGACATTTATTTACTAAGGTGCAATATGACGATTCCAGGTCACTTTGAAAATTAACTGCAGAGTAATGTACCTCATTTCAGACATTGGCTAAACTATCTTATTTCTGTCCTCAGACTTTCATACACTGTCCTTGCTGCATGATTAATCTTCACTCTCATAAATACAGGGGGAAAAGCACTTTAAAAAATCTTAAAGTACTTAAAATATGAATTATTGTGCCCTTATTAATTTTTACCAGGCAATCTTGTTTCCAGGTCTCACTTGTATTCTGTTTAAGTACATTTATTCTTTTATATTGAGTGCTCCCAGGTAGTACTAAAATAAAGATGTAATATTCAAGTTATATGGTTTTAAAATAATCCCTAAACTAAGGAGTTGGAGAAAACTATTTTCCCCAAATGGTGTTCAAAAATTGGCTTTGCTAAGAAGAAGTTTTTTGACAAGCTTATCTGGGGAAGAAGCTCAAACTCCAAAGAGCCTACGTATAGACAAAATTATTCTTAATATGAAAAGGAAAGAAGTTCTGGTCACTCTTGTGGGTGATGGGGAGAGGATGAGAAAGGAAGAGACAGAGATAGCACCAGGTACAATATGAGAACTTGACTGTGTATTCAGCATGAAGATCCTTCCTCTTACTTCCTAACTCCATCCTGTAGTCAGGTATATTAACCCAAAAAAAGCTTGAATGAGTTTGATTTTGGATAAAATGTTGATGGGGATGAGTCTAACACTCAGATTGATGTGATCAAAACAAGATAGCAAGCAGACTAGGAGTGAGAGGAGAGAAACACACATGAACCTCTTGGGTAGTGTGTATCTAGGAAAACAGTGGTTATATGGTGCGTGTGTAGGGAGATAGTGGTTGTATGGCACATGTGTAGGGAGATAGTGGTTGTGTGGTGCATGTGTAGGGAGACAGTGGTTGTATGGTGCATGTGTAGGGAGACAGTGGTTGTATGGTGCATGTGTAGGGAGACAGTGGTTGTGTGGTGCATGTGTAGGGAGACAGTGGTTGTATGGTGTGTGTGTAGGGAAATAGTGATGGGGGAGTCTAGACATCTAATCACTATGGAGTTAGGGGTCAGAGACAAATCCACTTAAATTTGCAAAAGATAGAAACTGAGCAGTTGACATCTGGGTTCAGTTCAGTTCAGGCGCTCAGTCATGTCCGGCTCTTGCCAACCCCATGGACTGCAGCATGCCAGCCTTCCCTGTCCATCACCAACTCCCAGAGCTTTCTTAAACTCATGTCCATTGAATTGGTAATGCCATCCAGTCATCCCATCCTCTGTTGTCCCCTTCTCCTCCTGCCTTCAATCTTTCCCATCATCAGGGTCTTTTCAGATGAGTCAGCTCTCTGAATCAGGTGGCCAAAGAATTGAAGTTTCAGCTTCAGTGTCAATCCTTCCAATGAATATTCAGGACTGATTTCCTTTAGGATTGACCAGTTTGATCTCCTTGCAGTCCAAGGGACTCTTAAGAATCTTCTCCAACACCACAATTCAAACCATCTGTTCTTTGGTGCTCAGCTTTCTTTATGGTCCAACACTCACATCCATATATGACTATTGGAAAAACCATAGCTTTGACTAGGTGGAACTTTGTTGGCGAAGTAATGTCTCTGCTTTTTAACGTGCTATCTAGGTTGGTATAGTTTTTCTTCCAAGGAACAAGCGTCTTTTAGTTTCGTGGCTGCAGTTAACCATCTACAGTGATTTTGGAGCCCAAGAAAATAAAGTCTGTCACCATTTCCATTGTTTCCCCATCTATTTGCCATGAAGTGATGGGACTGAATGCCATGATCTTAGTTTTTTGAAAGTTGAGTTTTAAGCCAGCTTTTTCACTCTCCTCTTTCACTTTCATCAAGAGGCTCTTTAGTTTTTCTTCACTTTCTGCCATAAGGGTGGTGTCATCTGCATATCTGAGGTTATTGACTCCTGGCAATCTTGATTTTGGCTTGTGATTCATCCAGCCTGGCATTTTGCATGATGTACTCTGCCTATAAGTTTAATAAACAGGGTGACAATATACGCTTTGAGGTACTCCTTTTACAATTTGGAACCTGTTAGTTGTTCCATGTCCGGTTCCAACTGCTGCTTAAACTTAAATTTGCAAACTGAGAAGTTGACTTAGAAACTTAGAAACTGAGCAGTTGGCATCTGGGTTATATATGGTTTTTTCCTTGAAAAATGTAAGAGAATGTCTGGCATTTTCCAGTTTCCATACAGTACACACAGGAACACTAATACAATAAAGTCTAGTACAAATGATTTATGTAAATTCTGGTGCTATCTTATTTGTTATTTGCTTCATTGAAATGCAACCTAAAATATTCTAGGGAATATAGGAAACACTTTTCTCTCAAATTTATTAAAACCATTAACCTCTGATACTTTTATATACCTATATGTCCTACATATATATAGATTCTAGTTCTTGAGAGGCTTTCTTTGAACAAATATCACACTCCTAAACAGTTTTCTCAGGGCCTCCTTCATTTCCGTATTCCGGAGGCTGTAGATCAAGGGATTGAAAAGTGGAGTCATCACAGAATAAGATAAGGTCACCATTTGCTGAATCCCGGCTGGATTGCCTGCCGTTGGGCTCACATACATCACCATGATGGAGCCATAGAACAGAGACACCACAGCCAGATGGGAACCACAGGTAGAGAAAGCCTTATGCCGGCCTTCTGCTGAGGGGACCCTAAGCACAGCTCTGATCACCAGGGTGTAGGAGCTGGTAATGAACAGGAAAGTGGAAAAAATTAGGACTGAGTTAAAGGCGGCACAGATAATCTCAGTGGCAGGAGCTGGCACGCAAGACAACTTCATAAGGGGTCCTGGGTCACATAGGAAGTGATCAATAGTATTGGGGCCACAAAAAGGAAGCTGGGAGATGAGATAAACTGGGAGGAGAAAACAGGAAAAGCCACACAGCCAGCAGCAGGCTCCTAATCTGATGCATCGTTGCAGTGTCATGACAGTGGGGTAGTGAAGGGGCCTGCAGATGGCAAGGTACCTGTCAAAGGCCATGGCAGATAATATGAAGGTCTCAGTGGTGCCCATGGAGAAGAAGAAGTAGAACTGGAGGAAGCAGCCAGAGAAGGAGATGGTCTTGGTCTCAGAGAGGAAGTTGGCTAGCATATTGGGGACTGTAGAAGTGACATACCACATCTCCAGGAAGGAGAAATTGGCCAGCAGGATGTACATGGGGGTGTGGAGATGGTGGTCCCACCACACTGCACTGATAATGCACAAATTTCCAGTTAGTGTCAACACATAGATCACAGAGAAGAGTGAGAAGAGGAAGATCTGAACCTCCCAGGTGCAAGGGAATCCAAGAAGAATGAATTCACTCACAGGGTCAGAGTGATTATTTCCTTCTGGATTTTTCATTTTCTTTTTCTCCAGAAAACTGCAACAGCAAGACATTACCATATTACAAATGATTTTACAGAATTTTTCTCATTAAGATGTTCTCTGAACTTCTTTACAATTCAATAAGCAGCCTAATTTTAGATTGCTTAAAGATTTCCAGCATTCTCTGCCCCAGTGTGATACTGGGAAGAAACAGGGAATTTGGAGGTTGTTTGCTTATTATAGCTTTATCTTCATGGTCACCATGCCCATCATGGTCCATTGAACACCTGCCTCAGTGTGATGTCCTCAGCACTAATAAACCAAAATAGATAGTCCTTGCCATTCACAGGCTCTCAACCTGTTCAGAAACAACCTTCTGGGCCAATCCTATGTAAGGACACATGGAGTTTTCATTGTTGATCTGTTGCTAAGTCATGTACAACTCTTTGTGAACCTATGAACTGCAGCACGCCAGGCTTCCCTGTCCTTCACTATCTGAGTTTGCTCAAACTCAAGTCCATTGAGTCAGGTGGTTCTAGTGGTAAAAACCCAGTTTCCAATGCAGGAGATGTAAGATGTCAGGAAGATCCCCTGGAAGAGAGCATGGCAACCCACTTCAGTATTCTTGCCTGGAGAATTCCCGTGGACATAGGAGCCTGGTGGGTTATGGTCCACAGGGTCACAAAGAGTCGGACGTGACTGAAGCGACTTAGAATGCACAAACATGGAGTTTTAAATAATAATAATAGTTCATAATGTGTGTAAATGGAAGACAACATTGCAAGAATTCATAGTTGTAAATTAAGAGTTTATTACTGTAAATTTAATAGTATGTATACCATTTTAGATGGGGTTTCTGTACTATTGGAAATTTTGGATACAGAAGTAAGGAAGATGATGTTTTATCAATGATTGCTTACAGCAAGCCCAATTGTGGTATTTGCATTCTCTCTTATTTCTAAAAATCTCCATGAAAAAAATTCCACAATTGGCATTGTTAATTTCTCTCAGGGTTTAGTGACATATGTACAATTCTCAAATAGTCTTTACTTTTAACTTGGTTCTCTTTGTAATAAAAAAATTTGCAGAAGAAGAGTAAGCTTCATGTATTTTCACCTACAATAAGCATTTAAAAATGAAATTGGTATGCATGAAGGAGGTTCACACTGCAAACAAATATAATTCTCTTTTAACTGAAATTTACCTAAAGTAGAGGACACAAACTTCAGTGTCCAGTCAAAATTTATCATATGCTGGTAAAGTAACTTATGATGGTACTCTCAATATATATTTTGCCACATAAAACAGAAATAACTATAGTGGTATATGTCATTAAAACAGTTTTGAGTTTTGAATTACATTAATTGGAGATCTGTTCATGGACTATTGTCATTATTCTCTCTGTCTCTTTTATTCAAGACTTCCATGTTAGAGTTCCTTCTGGTTGTCTTGACCTATAAATGTTTTTTCAGGACCTAGTCCTTGATATTTTTCCTTTTCTAATTATGCTCTCTCTGTAAGTGATATGACAGCTAGCCCTTTGACATAAAAACTACTTATGTAAAATGAAGCCACATTTTCTCTACCTAACTGTGAAGTCTTTTCTGCAACCTGGATTTATCTACCCAATTTCTTACTCAATATCTCCATTTGCTATTGAAGGTAACTAAAACAAGGAGCCCATGACAAAACTCTCGATTTTTCTCACCACAAACTGGCTGATCCTTGCTTCTTTGCCATAGCACCCAATAGCACCTTCATTTACTCAGTTGCTCAGGTCACAAACTTTGGCCACATCCTCACCACCCCTTTCAATAGTCCACATCCAAACCATCAACAAATCCTCTAGGCCTCCTGTTCAAAATATAGTTTTAAAAAAGTCTGATTATGTCAACTACTTGCTGTCAATCTTTCAAACATACTTACAAGAGAGTCTAAAGCTCTTCCCACAAAGGCCAATGAGCCCTAACTCCAGGCCCTCATTTCCTGGCACCTTTCTGTCTGCTGACCCCACTCCAGACATACTGATACTTGCCCTCGCCAAGTGTGGCCACTCTCAAGGTCTGGAATGTCCTTTATTCCTCTTTGCAATATTCATATGCTTTAACTTGTTCCTTTGTTCAGGTATCTGGAAAAATTAGAGACTCAGAGAGGCCTTTCTAAAATTTACACGTGTGAAGGCTCAATCACATCTGACTCTTTGTGACCCCCATGGACTGTAGCCCACCAGGCTCCTCTGTCTGTGGAATTTTCCAGGCAAGAATACTAGAGTCGGTTGCCATGTCCCACTGCAAGGGCTATTGCTGACCCTGGGATCAAACCGTGTCTCTTGTGTCTCCTGCCTTGGCAGGCAGATTCTTTACCACCTGGATAACCTTTCTTGATTTAGCCCATCTTTACTATTCTGCTTCCCAATTATGCTTGGGTTTTCTACAAAGCACATATTACTACCTGGCATTGTATTATATACTTAGCATGTATTTTCTATCTCAATCTCTTGAATATAAGAGGACATCATTTTCTCACTGATGTATTCCCAGAATCTAGGATAGTGTTCAAGACATATTTTATGTTGTTTAGTCTCTCAGTTGTGTCCGACTCTTTGCAACCCCATGGACTATAGCCCACCAGGCAAGGCATATTAGGGATGTTTTTTAAATATTTGTCATCTCAATCAATGCCTTGCCCTAATAGTAACTAAACAGGAAAACCATTCCTTTAGACAGGGAAAAAAGTTTAAGAAAATGTAAAGACTGCTTTCTCCAGTTTGTTAAAAACACAAAAGCAAGGCGACACCTTTTGTATGGGGAAACAACCTCAGTTTTCATAAGCAGGAGATCCATGAGAGGAGCCCACTCAAGACAATCCTATCAAAGCTCCCTCTCTCTGTGACTCACACTGTCTTTATGTTCCTTTCATCCACGTTGCTTTGTGCGCTGTGCTTTCTTCTTGTTGCTAAGTGAAAATCATGCTCTAAGTGTGTGTGTGTGTGTGTGTGTGTGTGTGTGTGTGTGCGCGCGCGCGCACACGTGCGCATGCATGCACAGTTTTCTTTATCTAGTCTCTCAATCTGTTTCTGTATCTAATTGTCCATATTTTAAATGAATGATTTTTTTAATTCTTTTTTCTTATTTTTAAATAGGTAAGTGAACTGTTTTTGACTTCTCCTGCCTAAAATCAAAAGAGCAGCCTAAAGAAAATGTGACTGTTCAAGTTACTTTAATAGAAAAATGTTCTTACTCCCTGATTTTTCTTCTGTATCATATTCAGGGTCAGGAAATCTGGTATATCTGACTTGAAGATGTAATAAGATACAAAATAAAGTTGTCATCCACAGTTTATTCTTGGCCCTTGTGGTTTTGTGGTATAGATAACATATTCATTTAAGAAAAAAATTTTGTTTAAATATGTTTACCTATATTTTATAAATGAAACACACAAAATCTAGCATTTAATCAGACCAGTTCTAATACCAGAGGCAATGTTATATAATTGAGAATCTAACCAGTTTCTATTATCAGGAAGCTATTCTAATTTACACTTTCATATGGAGAAACTACAACATAGGGTTAGAGGAAAGTGAAAAAGGCATTACAAAGAAATTTGAACTGTATATTACCTGAAGATCTTGTGTGAGAATTTCAGAATCTGGCAGAGAGCAGGGTTCAAATTTAGGTTTCTCTCTCCTGGAATATGCAGTCAACCTCAGTCTCCTGTTCTCTCATTTCAGCAGAAGAAAATGTGAAGCAAAGCCAAACAGTGGGGCTGGCATCCGAGTATCTGATGGCTTCTAAAAGGGGGTGAGTATTGGAAGGTAATATTATCAAACATAGCAATTACTTGAAGACCATACAATGACCGTATTGCTTAAGTAACTTGAAAAGGTGGTTATATGCAGTTGTAAACTACACTGTGGTCTTTTCTGGTTTGGGAAGAGCTAATTCCATCCCTGCCTCTAAAGGAGAGTATGCTAACAAACATTCTGAGTTATGGCTGATCTGTTCCAGGCAGCCCATCTTGGAGGGAAGGTGATCCAGGGCACTCTGTGTGTGTAGTCAGCTCTTAACAATGAGCTCCTGTGCCCCACATAGTTTTTAATAATATGCCAAGATTGTCTCTGACCATCCTGGATTACTGGACTTCTCCCTGTGGCCTCATCTGGGGATAACAATGAGAAAGTTTTGGCCAGACCTCAGAAAATATTTCAACTGAGGTCTAAATTGGTCCAACCTCTAGGGGAAAAGGGAAGGATGATGAAGCCTGGATCTAAGGTGAAAAATAATTTGTCCTTAAGCCTTGGATGAGAATATTAACTATAACCAGAAGCATCTGTATGCATTTTTATAGTAACGCAACTTTGTTTTCCCATGTTAGAGATGATACCAGGTTTAGGAGAGAAAATGTAAGAGCAAAGACTCCTATGAAGCCAAAAAATATGCAGACAGGTTAGTTGTTGCAAAGAATTAAAAAAAACCTTCAGAGCCTTTATCTATTTGTTCTTTTCTTTCCACAATTCTACACATGTACCAGTCCCACATATACTATGGGGGATTTTGCATCTGTAACAACTGCTCCATTCATTCTCGACTATAATCTGTAGCTCCAATTGTTTTGTGAATTTGTCCTTTCAATCTCACTTCAGCCAGAGAAAGGTAAACACTTAAATCAAAGTAAAAACTCCAATGCCTGCAATTATGACAAAATAATTTATAAACATCTCTTCTTTCTCAAAAAAGACTGACTTTACAACTGTTCTTTGAATGATGAAATTCAAATGAACTAGGGAACTTGGGAGTGTGTCACCACAATTGTGTTGCAAATGTGCAAAGTCATTAATTTATTTTCTTAAATATTATATTTTCCTAGTCAAATAAGTCGATAGAAAAGAGGTTTTCAAGAAGGGAAAAGGAATTAATAATGTAAAGTGGTATGAAATGCAAAATACAAGTAATATAAACTTGGAGAAGAACTGGAAAATATGTCTGTGTTAATTAAGTAAGACATTATTACTAACCTTTGAGACTTCAGTGTCAGAA